AACAACCATCCAAATGAAGACCCTGACTCGTTCCGGAATTTGAAGTTTCCAGATTCGTTTCCTGATGGAATTGGGTAGCTGTTCATTTTGGAGTTGAGCTGCTTTGAAGGCTGACTTAGCAGAGAAGCATCCATTAGCAGTTAGGCTCCATAAATCTTGATCGTCCTCCATGGAAAGGGGGTCGACCATGGCTGCTCTAATTTTGTTCACCGTTTGCATAGGGAGAAGTTGTTGGAACTCTTCAAGCTTCCATCCTCGATCGGGGTCCCAAAACTCAGCCACGCTTTCCTTTTTGTTCTCCTCTGAAAGTTCTGCAGTGGCGAGATCTTTTAGAGGAACCTGCGAAATCCAGGGATCACACCAAAAATTAGTTCCCCTACCATTTTTAATGTTCATAGCAAAATCCTTCTTAAGCACATTGGTCATAGAGACAAAGCTCCTCCAAGCAAGAGAACTTCCCTGTTTCTTTTGCAGAATGTTGATGCCTTCTCTGTTCCCAGCATATTTGTCAAGAAAAAGTCTTGTCTAGAGAGTTTCTTCCCTCGTCGCTAACTTCCAGCTACCCTTCGCCAACATTGCCTAGTTTGCCAACGTTGTAGGGAGAATCCTAGCACCACCTTGATCTCTTGGTAAGGTTAATTGTTCCCAGTTCCCACGCAATCGGGTGAAATTTCCTTTTCCCTTCTTCTTCCCCCCAAATGAACTTTCTGTTAGCCCTGTCCACAGAATTGCAAACAGAGGCTGGAAGTGACTCTGAAAACATTGGGTAAACAGCCATGGAGAAAGAGACTGATCTCACCAGAGTCATGAGAGAAGCCAGAGACAGGTAATTCGTCTTCCAGGAAGCAAGTTTCTTCTGAATGCACAACACTAAATCTTTGTATCTAGTTTTGGAGACTCTTCCATGAATGGCATTGAGCCCTAGATATCGCCCCAAATCGCTGGTGAGAGGGATATTGGCTTGGTCACAGAGGTGTTGCGCTTTCTGTCGATTGAAGTTTGGAGAGACATACATCATTGATTTTCTCAGGTTGACCTTTTGTCCCGATCTCTCAAAAAAGTCATCTAGGCAGCTCTTGATAGTCTCTACTTGATTAGAACCTGTCTCTGCAAACAAGATCAAGTCATCTGCGAAAAATAGGTGAGACAATTTAAAGCCATGGGAGGTAAGAGATAAGGGTTTCCGTTGTTTGTTTTCCACAGCTAAATTGATCTTATGGGAGAGTCTTTCCATACAGAGGACGAAGAGGTAGGGAGAAAGACGGTCTCTCCCCCCCCCCCCCCCCGAGAAGGATGAATTCAATCAGTCAAGGTGCCATTCCAACTGATCTTCATTCTGTTTTCCTCTACAGTTTTCATGATCCTCCTTATCTAGGTACTTGGGAGACCAATTTCAATCAAAGTGTCCCTAATGAACTCCCATCTTAACCTGTTGTAAGCAATGTAGTCAAAAGCGAGTTTCTACGTAGAAACGTTATGGTGATCTAGAAGCGTAAAATCGTAAGTTTTTAAGTATTAAAGCGGAGTTTTTAACTACATAAGTTATAAAAACTGAGATTTTGTGTAGAAGCGTTTTAGTGAACTAGAAACGCAAAATCGAAAATTTTTAAGTTTTAAAACGCGATTTTGACTACATTAACGTAAGCCTTCTCAAGGTCTATTTTGATCACCATTCCTCCTTTTTTTCCCTTTTCTAGATCGAAGAGAATGTAGCACCTCTTGCAGGATGATGATGTTGTCATTCGTTTGTCTCTTGGGAATAAAACCACTTTGGGTAGGAGCTACCAATTTGCTCATCAACGGTTTCAATCTGTTGGGAATGGCCTTAGTGATGGCTTTGAGGCTCACATTGTTGAGGCAAATAGGTCAAAGCTGAGTAGGGGAATCAGGGTGGGTAACTTTGGGAATAAGAACAATGGTGAAATCCAGCATATCAGTAGGAAGATGACCTGTTTCAAAGAAACAAATAGCTAAGTTAGCAATAGGGGTGGGCAACAGGAAACGGGTATTTGGGTATACCCATACCCGTCACGTTTTTTGAGGGTTACGAGTACCCAAATACCCGTAATTTTTTTTTTGCGGGATGGGATTTGGGATCAACCAGTTCTACAATGGGTACCCGCGGGTTACCCGTTAATACCCGTTTGGGTATTACGGGTACCCGTACTACCCGCCCATAACTACATTCCCTAAACCATTAGTTCTCTGTTCTAATTTTCATTTACAACATTATCATGATCATACTTTTTATGTTGGTGGTTTAGATGATGATGTGGGAAGGCAAAAGTTTCCATTACTTCTGTCTCAATCGCAATTGTTTATTTTACGTCTGGTAGTGTTATTTACTGGGTTGAAGAAGTTGGTAATGGGTGGCGAATGTGGGGGTGAAAGAGATATTGCAAGTGAAATAATGCGGAAGAAACTCAACATATATGTATTGATCTCTTTGTATCCTAATGTATTGGTACAATGATGGTTTGTAGGTAACAGAGGCATACACGTTCTTCTGAAGTACGAACAGAATTGAAGTGAGTAGAGTACATGGGGAGAATAAGTAGGAATAGAGAAACAGTAAAGAATAAAAATTCTTTTGCAGATAATGAGCGGCTATTTTAAGGTGGATCACTTCAATTTTTGTTATTTTAGGTATTTACGGGTTACCCGCGGGTACCCGTTATCCGTCCCGTACGGGTAATGGGTACCCGTTAGGCCGTTAATCCGTACGGGTTTGGGAATGGGATGGAGTTTTCTCTCCAAATGGGTTTGGGTACCCGTATCAAACTGGACGGGTACCCAGCCCGTTGCCCACCCCTAGTTAGCAGTAGTTTACTCTACCAAAGACCACAGTTTTTTATAAAAGACAGCTTGAAAACAATCCGGGCCAGGGGCAGAGAAAGGTTTCATTCCCAAGATTGCTTTATGAATATCTAAGATAGAGAAAGGATGAAGAAGTTCTCCCTGGTCAATTCTGGGGAAAACGTTTTTGGGCATGAGGTCCAGGTAAGGAGAGGAGTCCTGCTTAAAAAGCTAGGAGTAGAAGGAAACAACAAGCTGTTCTAGCTCCACCAGATTCTCCACCCAGTTCCCAGCCTCATCTTTGAGAGCCAGAATTTTGCTTTTCCTTCTCTTTTTAGTAGCTTGATGGTGAAAATAGGCAAAATTATGATCTCCGAGGGTCGCCCAATTTTCTTTAGCCCTCTGGAACCGGATGATCTCTTCTTGCACAAGAAGATTATCGAACTCAGTTTCAATTTTTGCTTGCAGCTTGAGGAGACCAGGATTGAAGTTGTTGGCTATATTGATTTGTATTCCTTTCAATCTAGCCAAAAGCCTCTTCTTCCTGTGCTGAATGATCCTGAAAGTCTCCTTGTTCCATCTTTGGAGTTTGATGGAGATTTCATGGAGAGCTTGATGAAGGTTAACATCTTTATTCTAGGAGCCTTCAAAGAAACTATGAAAATCCTCATGAAGTAACCAGGCTGCCTCGAAACGAAAAGGTCTTTCACCACTGGCAATAGGAGCCATCCCAACACTGTTGGTTAGAATAGGTAGATGATCTGAATGCAACTTGGGGAGATGTTGGACCACGGTGTCAGGGAAGGAGGAATTCCAAACAGAATTGCAAAAGGGATGATCAATTCTGCTAGCTTTATGGCCAGTTCCTAAGTTTCCTCGAAACCAGGTGAAATGAGCTCCAGAGAAACCCAAATCAATCAAGTTAGCAACATCAATCCAATTGGCAAAATTATGACAGCGTCTAAGGGATGCGGGAGAGATTGATCTTGTTTTCTCCGAGGGGAATCGATAGGCATTGAAGTCACCAGTTACGAGCCAAGGCAAATGGTTATTGTTGTTGGTATGAATAAGATGATCCCACAGCTGTTGATGGAACTTGTACTGAGGGATCCCATAAACCCCAGTGAGCAGCCACTCTCCCTGAGCATCTTTGGAAGCTCTAATGGTGATGTGTTGTTTGCTGGCATCTATAAGATGTACATTGAAATCCCCAACTTTCCAGGCTAGCCAAATACCACCACTTCTTCTCTCAGCATCAAATCTCACCACTTCATCAAAACCCAGATTGCCACAAACTTTGTTAGCACGATCATCGCTAATCTGGGGTTCGAACAGAATGAGAAAATTTGGCGTGTAAGACTCGACAAGCAACTTGATAGCTCGTCTGACGTCTTTGCTACCTGCACCACAAACATTCCACGCTAGCACTTTAAATTTTGGTTGTATATACATAAGGTAAAAAAGTGAAAGGAACTAACAAAGGAGTAGTGACAAGAAAATATCCAAAAAATTAAACGAGAGCCTCGGAGACAGCTGTTTGGTCTCTCTGGTTGTCTCCATTTTCCAATTGATTCTTAGCGGTGGTCGCGGCATGCATCTCCACCATGTCCACATTAGTAGGTTTCCCCGAGAGAATATTTTGGAACTCCTGGGCCTTCAATTGAGTGTGAGCATAGAACTCCTCGATGGCTTTCAGGGTTATGGGGAAGTTATTGTTCGTCGTTTTCTTGGGCCGGGCCTTCTTTGTGGCAGAATTGATTTGAAGAGGTTTCTTGATGCCCTTGAGATTGATCCCCTTGCCTTGGTTATGTTTAAGAGAGCTCTCCTCTGTTTTCTTTTGTGACCGTTGGCGAGCTGCTGTACTTTTTGAATTGGGTTCAAAATTTTCTTTCTGGTCAACCACCAGTGGGGGAACGGATAAAATGCGGATCGTCGTGTTGTTTGGGCCCAGAATCACGTCTTTGGATGAAGTCGTGTTGGACGACGAGGCCTGGCCCACAAGAATTCCTTGGGCTTTTGTTGGCTGAGTTTCACTAGTGGAGTTGCCTTTTGAATCTTTCACCCGCCATTCCTAAGAGCCGTTAGCTTTCTTCTTCCCGTTATTAGTCTCTGATTCCATATCCTCTGCTTTCCCTTTCTGAGCACCATGTATTCCTTTTTTTTCTCTTCATTTATTTCTTTCTTTCCTTTTTTGTCTGCGCGGATCACTCCTTTGTGTGATTCTCCTTTCCCTTTCCCCCCTGATTTTGGTACAGCTTTACCTGAATCAGTACCAAATGATTGAGGAAAGTTCGAGTAGTTACCCGATTTGGGTTTATTCGGCTTCCATGACTTTCGAGTGACTTGCATCCACGGACCGTAGCCGGAGGGGTTTCCGATGATTGATTCGCTGGCAAGCTCGGCGATGCGTTGTCGGGAACTAAAACCAGAGCTAGCTCCTGGGATGGTGACCGATTCGGGCAATGTTCTTTGAGGTGTCCAATTCTGCCACACTCATAGCAAATCTGAGGGAGATTTTCGTATAGAACCTGCTGTCGAATGCCGTCAAGGTAAACCTTTGTCGGAAGAGGTTTTGTCGGATCTAACTTAATATCAATCCTGGCAAATTTCCCTAGTTGAAGCGTTTCCGTGTGGTAATCCAACTTCACTGTGCGACCAATTAAGTTTCCAATTGCAAATAAAACTTCTTTGTGGTAGAAATGCACTGGCAGCTCAAGAAATTGGACGCAAGCAACGACCGATCGGTGAGGTTTGTCCGTAGATCGGAAGCTTCGCGTCCATTGATGAACAAGAAGATAGTGGTCTAAGATCACCCATGGACCACCTGTAAGCGCTTTGAGATAATCATGATCGTTGTTAAATGTCACCAAGAAAGTCTCGTTGTTCAAATCAATGATGTCCAGTGACCCTGAGGGCCGCCACATCCATCTGAGTTGAGAGCATAAATATGAATAAGAGACTGACCGGCCTAGAAGACGAACAATCAGGGTCTTCTTCCATGGATCACAGATTCATTCCTTGAATTTTTCCGAGAAGTTAAGTGCAGGATCGCCATTGAGAGTGTCGGCCACCATATCGTGTTCACTCACGAAGGTCCATTGGCTAGCTTTGGTTACTCTTTCCGAGGCCTGACCTGTGAGCACATTCTTGTAAGACACCAGAGCGGCATTTCCATCAGGACCAATTGGAGGGGTATCCTGCTGAGTTTGTTGAGGCAGTGGATCGGGAGGTTTGCTCGCCGGAGGAGGTAAAGAAGCTGACGACGAAGAGATAACAAGGTTCACCATTCAGAGAAAAAAACCAATTTTCCTTATTCACCATCCGTAAGAAAGAGGTTGGTTAATAACTTGAGTTATTGAGATGATTATGGTTTTTAACATTTATAATCGTTAGCAATGAACAAGTGAGTGCAACACCCTTACCACTTCAACTTTGATAATATTATTATCTGCGGTAGGAATACGACATTTGTGAATATAAATATTTTTCATTTCCTTAATCGTACTTACGAAAAAATATTTTAATTACTATTAAATTTCTTGGAAAAGATGTTTGGTCCAATAGTAATATTATTGGATTTAAAACTAAAGGTATCATATTCGAATAACTTAAATAACACCTAATTAAAAACCAAATCTATATCACAAGATAGAAGATATAGTCCTCAACTGTTGATAAAATTACATGTAAATTTTAAATGAATTTGAAAAGTTGAGAAATTAAGAAGACTTTTATAACTCCTCCAAGGCTCCAACCATGTATGGGGGCCGACGCTTGCCCAGGTCCGGAAGGTAAAAAACGTTGGCTAGCTGGTGATAGGGGAGCTAGCAACCAAAACCCCGATGAACGGCGACTGAATTATCACATTTCAAATTTCTCATACCAAAATTTTTCTATTACCCTCGTTTGAGTTACTTACTCGCCCACTTTAGGAGTTTTCCATTCGTTAATTTTTTATAACGAAATGGAAAATTAACAGTACAAAAATGTAAAAAATATACAAACTTATGTGTTTTACTAATACGATGTGTGTTAGCTAATTCATTCGACAAAAATGCCAATTTTACTATATTTAAAGAGATATACATTACAGAAATTGAGAAGGTAATCCGACTTAAATCATGCATACAACAACATATGCAGCGAAGAAAAGAAAATCAAAAGGTTGACTGACCCTTCAAGCGACGGAGATTTGGCTTGGGATAATAATTGTGTTCTAATGATCGATTGGCGGATGCATTAATATGTGTGCGTTGCTGACATATTTGTGGATCGTGGTGAAGATCTCCTATATGCCTGCCTGGCTGGAGCTTTCTAGCTACGTAAACTTCCAACATTATTATTTACTTCTAGTCTCATTGACTTGTTCTCATCCCCGACAGAAATTTGATCCAGTAATCAGGGCTAATTAATTACCAGAAAATTCCACAGAGGGAAAATTGGTTTAACGTTCGAATCAATAGATCAACATCATGAAATCATGATCACCGATCGTCGTCAAGACTCAAGATGGAGGGCATGCCCGGCTATAAGGAGAAACACAGGGGCCCTAGAGGCCGACCTTCATTTCTTCCACTTTACAACTGCATCATGATTTCTAGAATTAGTGGTATTCCTACTTGCTGGCCATGGGTATTGGTGTTCTTAGTGGAATTTTGCATGATCAATGCACACTGACTTAAAGAAAATAGAAAACGATGTTATTCGGTTCACACCTCTTCAAACACTATTCCAACGAGGGTGTTCGATGCATACATCAAAGGATCTAGTTATTGTTACCTCTACTCCTATATAGTTTCCTTGAGAGTTGCGCAACTACTGACTACAACTAACTGAGAAGCCTCGTGGAGGGTCCCTGGTGCTACTGCCACGGTTACTGTTCCAGAGAGAAAAAGATAAATTTTGACGAGACGGTTTATGACTTGATTTGTCTGCCCTTCATCCAGAAGTATGTTGCCAGTTTTGTTCAGCCTCCTCTCCAACTGCCTTGTCTCTCTCTCTCTCTCTCTCTACCCAAAAATCAGCTCCACATAGCATCAATTAACTCCTCTTTGAGCGTCCTTTGCAAGTCAGCTGCTCCTTCAAGTAACCACCTTCGACACGTAATCATGTCACTGGACAACTAACCCTGTGTACCATGGATGGGCCATTGGATGGTCACCATACATCAAAAAACCTAGATGTATCTATGTTGACGAGGACAATAATCCATGGATGATATCCAGACTAGATGGTCACCATACCATAATATGGATGGTACCATCCACTTAGTAATTTGGATGGTAACCATGAGACAAAACGACATCATCCATATATGATTGGACGGTATCTCTATTATTTGGACGACATCGTCCACTTAGAGTTGGGGCAGTATCCATGATGTTGGGATGGTACGATCCACCATAGGGTTGGGATGGTATCCACGATCTTAGATGACACCATCCATGATAGGGTTTGGATTGTATCCATTATGTTGGACACTACCATCCACTTATAGAGTTGGATGGTGTCCATTATGATTGAGAGGAGTGAAGATTCTTACCTCTCAAGGGAGATTCAAGCAAGGAGGAAGGAAGATTGTCATCTCTTCATATTCTTTCTCTCCTCTTTGTTGTTTTCCTTTGCCTAGCCATGGAATAGCCCACCTAATCACTTGGGTATTGTGAATCCTAGTCTAGATGTATGTTAGGATGTAAGAACTTGATTCCATTGTGTTGATTGTGTGTTTTATATAATATTTGAGGTATTTAATCATGAATGATTGAGTGTTGCTTGCATTATCTCATTATTGGTCAAATTAACCTAGAGGGTGGAAATCCCCCTTTGGCCCATAGGGAGCTCGACCTCCTAGCCTCTTGGGTAACCCCTTCTAGGTTAATATAGGGCAAAAACCTCAAGTATTGGATTAGTACCATGATTCTTTTGTGATTGGTCTCTCCGCCATCCAGATTAAGTTCATAGGGTTTGGTTTGCAATCCTCAGTTGACCAGTTAAGAGGGTTAGATTGCCTAGCCTATTGTCGCAATCCTTGGTCGAAAGGTTAAGAGAGTTAGTCTACTAACTTATTGCGACAATCCTTAGTTGGTCAACTAAGAGAGTTAGGGTTTTCTTCGCTGATCGAACAAGAGAGCTAGGACCCCTAGCTTATTGTTGCAATCCCTACCCGAGAGGTTAAGAGAGCTATGTTCCCTAGCTTATTGTAGCAATCCTTGATTGATCTACCTAGAACAGTTTGCTCCTAGCTTGTTGCACCCGCCGCACGGTATATAAACATATCCTTCACACAAGGGTTTCGTTCATTGTTTCTTAGCACGAGACTAGGGGAACCAATACCCAAGTGAAGTCCTCTCATATAGAATTCTCCTCGATTTACTTTACTTGTTTGTTTATTTTGTATTTTTCTTAGTTTTAAACCCAAAACCGTTTTGCTAGATAACAACCTAAGTTATTAAAGTAAGGGTATATGGACCGGCCCAGGTTTGACAATTAAATACTTGCCCTATACTGCACCCTGCTAGAGTTTAAAAACTTGGGCTCTATTCGGGATTAAATCGCAGTGTAGTTTCATGTGAGTCATTACTATGCCCCCCAGACAGCTTAATCCGACCATCCTTGTACAACTGGTCAAAAATTACGTCTAACTTGGAAACATCAAAGGAAAACTTTCTAGGTTGAATTGGAGCACGGTTAGATTTTACAACTTGTTGTTCATTATCAATTTTGGCTAAGGAAGCACAAACATATGGCTTCCCTTGCACCAATGGCGGAGGGAGAGGGTAACAGGGTGGGTCCCGGGACCCACCCTGGTTCAGGAGGAAAATGATTAAATTAGGTACGATAATTAATTGATATAAAAAATTAGGTCACATTTAGTTGATAATAGTAGTTTTGTGTTTGAATCTAATACGATATACATATTTGTGCAAACTTCAATTTCGTATAAGTTGATTTTCTTATGAGGGAGCATGCTAGTAAATGGTATCATATATATTATTGAATCTCTTCCAACAACTTGATTTGTTGATACTAAATGTTTTTTTTTTACAAAGAACATTATTCGAAAGCTAAATCATGAATTATTGATTGGTGTATGATTTATTATTAAACCTCTATCAACAACTCGATTTATTGTTACTAACGGTTCTTGACAAAGAACACCATTTGAAACCGTAAGAGTGTACGACTAACTAAATCAACAATTGTTTGGTACGTAAAATGATATTCTTGATATTTTTTTTACTAATAATGCATTTAAATTTACCAAAAAATTTCAATTTAAGATTATATTAACAAAAACTATTTCATCATGTGTATTTTTTTCTAGGTGACCCACCTTAAACGAAATCCTGGCTACGCCACCGCCTTGCACAATTTCAGCCAAATCTATCTCGACACCATTCCACATTCTGAGCAGCATGGTTGATAGTATAATCAAAGCAAGGGTGGTATTGTCCCATAGATGCACTACTTTTACTCTCCTCTTCACGCAGAAGAGTCTCATACCTAACATCACATGACATCAATTGGAATAAATAAGAGAACTCCCTATCTTGAAATTTTTTATGAAGTTCAAAGTTTAAACCACCTTGTGATAGCTTGACAAATTCATGTTGTGTCAAGTTGAAAAAACAACGATTATGTGCATTTTTAAAATTTGTTAAGAAGTGTTCCACTGTCTCCACTAGTTGTTGCCGCATACGTGCCAACTCCGCAATAGTCACTTCTGGTTCGGAATGATAAAATTGCGCATGAAATATTTGTTACATTTGTTGCGAAGTCTGCACTAAATTAGATGGTAGATTGACATACCATGCAAAGGCAGGTCCCGTCAAAGAGTTTCCAAACAAACATAACTTGACAAAATCACCTACAGCACCACATTGGATAGTAAATTGTGTACCATGCTCCACCGTAGATTGGTCAC